ATATTCGTGCTACTCTCTGTATTGTGTAAGTGACGGGCAAGGTGCTCATGCTTATGTCAGAACTCATAAAAGGTGTTGCTGGTATCTCGTCAGTCGATCATTTCAGGGCTCACAGGGACCCACCCACCACTGCCGTACCCAGAATGTGCATTTAATTGAATTTCACTACTGCATATTATCCTTACTTTCTTCATTGCTCGTTTTCTGCGAAGGAACCAGTGATGATGGATTATGATTTCGAGTTAGCCAATAAAGTCACTTTTATCCCTCCTCTGTCCATTAATGGCTGATACATGAAGCCAGGATGGAATGAAAAGGAGGCCGAACTTAGATTTTGGTTCAGGATGTTATCATCTGATGAGAGGGCGAGAACAGATGATGAAAACTGATGCTAAAAATGATGGTGGTGATATCGAAAACGTCCGTTTTGCCTACAACAGGTTGAGTATCCCTAATCCGAAATGCTTGGGCCAAATTTGTTTTTGGCTTTTGGATTTTTCCGGATTTTAGAATACATGGTGGAGTTGAGGAGAATTGACAGAAAGTTCAGGGAGTCGATGAAGAGACATAACGGGACAAAATTATGAAATATGAACTTTTAAAACCACTTCACACGTTTTCTCACCCAAATTCTTCACATTAATACAAAAATAACTTATCTGTTTCCTTTAAATAAAAATATTTATGATCCAAAATGGCTGCCTGTTGTGAGAGTGAAGTTAAGGATATTTCAGAATGTTGCGTAGCAGTTTCTTAAAAATCACAAGAAAAAGGAACTCAGTTATTCCACAAGTTGAAACGGCCCGGGTGTCGTTGCAGTACAACATCATCAGGTACAAAGATTTTCGCACAGCTTATATACGTTGGAAAAGGGGGCTGTTGAGGCAGGAGAAAGAAGAGGAGGTGGAAGTTAGATGTAATGGGTTGTTTCCATAATTAAATGCAAACATGAAAATAGGGTGTATTTCACGTGTTCTCCCTTTTGACCCTGCAGATAAAATGATTTATGATCAAGTGTGCTCACTTGTTAATTTAAGCCTAGGGAACTTCCGATAAGGTTTGATTCTTCAGCCCTTGTTACGGACAGAGGGAGGCTCTACGACTACCGATGTAATGCTGAGGTGAACAGGGCTGAGAAGGTTGTTACGGCCGTTGTTCATATTATCCAAGGATATTTCAAAAACTGCGGACTAAGAGGCAAGTCAATACCATGTAACAGGTTTTAGAATGTATTGGATTTCGGAATTTTCGGATTGGGGATACTCAGTCTGTATTGCCAAATTTTTAAGGGTATAAAGCGGAAACTGCGTTTTAGTATGTTGTGGTTTTCATGAAATCAATATGTTGGACTGTTTTTCTCATCACAGTTTGTGTGTTTGAATTGTATTGATTGTTATTGTTTGTAATTATGAAATGATTTTTAATAAAAATGAGTTTTGCTAAATGAACCTTAACTT